GATGTATCAATTGTGTTTTTGCCGATTAGTTAAAGTTTTGTATCGTTTAATAGCCCATTGACTATCAGATGGTACTAAAGCGACAAGTTTCTATCAAATAATAAAAGATAGGTTGCCAGGCAACGAAACATACGCCCACAGCAGCTAAATCGTCTGGGCAGTCAACAAGAGTTGTCACATATTTTTAATTTTCGGTAATGAAACATTTATAATAAACTAAAATCTGATTATAAATTTAAAGTCAATCTGATATTAACTTTGACCTCTAGAGCGTCCACAAGATTTTTCAAAGTGATTAAGGGCCATAACTCTGGCAGTAATTATCGGAAATCGCTGAAAATCAATAGGCTTCTTCGTCTCATGACCTTAAACACTGTGTATAAATTTAAAGTCAATCGGATATCAACTTTGGCCTCTAGAGCGTCCACAAGATTTTTCAAAGTGATTAAGGGCCATAACTCTGGAAGTAATTATCGGAAATTGCTAAAAATCAATAGGCTTCTTTATCGCATGACCTTAAACACTGTGTATGAATTTAAAGTCAATCGGATATTAACTTTGGCCTCCAGAGCGTCCACAAGATTTTTTGAAGTGATCAAGGGCCATAACTCTGGCAGTAATTATCGGGAATTGCTAAAAATCAACAGGCTTCTTCGTCGCATGACCTTAAACACTGTGTATGAATTTAAAGTCAATCGGATATTAACTTTGGCCTCCAGAGCGTCCACAAGATTTTTTGAAGTGATCAAGGGCCATAACTCTGGCAGTAATTATCGGAATTCGCTGAAAATCAATAGGCTTCTTCGTCTCATGACCTTAAACACTGTGTATAAATTTAAAGTCAATTGGATATTAACTTTGGTCTCCAGAACGTCCACAAGATTTTTTGAAGTGATCAAGGGCCATAACTCTGGCAGTAATTATCGGAATTCGCTGAAAATTTATAGGCTTCTTTGTCTCATGACCTTAAACACTGAGTATAAAATTTAAGATCAATCGGATATTAACTTTGGCCTCTAGAGCGTACACAAGATTTTTTGAAGTGATCAAGGGCCATAACTCTGGCAGTAATTATCGGAAATCGCTGAAAATCAATAGGCTTCTTCGTCTCATGACCTTAAACACTGTGTATAAATTTAAGAATAATCGGATAAGAGGGCGTCATCTGTTAGATTAATAGTATCCTCGGATCTAAAGCGCTCCAGCTCATAATTGATTTTATAATTGATATTTTTTGTTACCTTTTCAGCTGTCAGACGAACTACATTGCCGAGCCAACTGGAAAAAGTGTCAACACTCACAGAAGAATTTGCCGATTCGTCAGGACTTAAATTGTTTGTTGAATCTGAAGATTCAGATTGAGAAAGTCCACGAATTTCGTCAGAGATGGTGTTTTGCACAGATGCCTTATCACTATCAGATAAAAATGACAGTGATTTTGTCCTTGGATCTAAAAAGGAGGCTTTTTTGAACATAAGTGTTTGAGTGTCATTGGTATATCTTGAACTCAGATCGTTCAATAATATAGACTTTATCTGTTTTACAAACGAGTCATCATTGTCAGCATGTCCAAGTTCTGATTTTAGTTTGCAAACTACGGGCAATAAAATTGAAACCGTTGGTTTTTTTTCATAGGACATATGCACCGTCGCCATTTTAAATGGCTGTAAAATCTTGACAATAGCACGTGTGTGTGCCATTGTTGAATCAGATATAGATGTTATAAGGCAACGGACACGTTCGTTGCTACTACTGAAGAGAGTAGCACACACAGCCGGCTCCTGTTCAATAAACCGTTCCAACATATCTAAAGTCGAATTCCATCGCGTATCGACGTCAATTACAAGTTTATGTCGGGGAATATTCAATAGGGCTTGTTTTTCACCTATAATGCGGCTACTCTCTACACTTCTTTTAAAATGCGCTACCACATGTCTTATCTTACCCAAGAAGACAGACACACATGACGCATCCAGTACTTTTTTTACACATAGATTTAACGTCTGACCCAAACAAGGTACATGTGGCCAAAGGAGAATTTTATTTACGGCCTTGACAATATTACTGCCATTGTCTGACACAACAATGGGATTTTCTATGCTCCAGTCATCAACAACACCAGTAAGTTCTTCTGCGATAACCTCGCCAGTGTGTCGGTCGTTGACAACTCTAGTTTCGAGATTTTGGCACACCAGTTCCCAGTGAACGTTAATAAAATGACTTGTGACAGTCATGTACCCATCATCTGACTTTGACGTCCACATGTCTGTGGTCAGTGCATGTGTTTGGTTGATATCAGAGGCTTTATTAATAGAAATAATCTGCTCCTTTTTTTCCTGATACATGGGTACAATTACTTTTTCAAGTAAGTAGCCTCTATGAGGCACGGGGTATTCGGGACATAAGGCATTAGAATATTCCCGTAAGGAAGCTGACTCAACAGAATTTATGGGCCTTAAATCATCAATGATATGCTCCGCGAGTTTTCTACTTACGTATTTAAATTTCGAGCTATCATGTGACATCATCGATCGCGGTGAATTGATGATCCATTTCTGCAGAGCAGAAGAAGAAGCTGCAACTTGGCTATTTGTTTGTATATTGTTGCCTTTATTCCCAGTTTTTTTGTGTCAAATTGTATAGTGTTTACGGTCAAGGTGAGTGGAGAGGTTGGTTGTATTACCACTATATTTCATTTTTAACTCACATATGTCGCATATTGTTATATTTTATAATCTCCCTTTTCATTGCATTCAAAACTAAAATATTTCCACGCGGCCCCAAAACTTCTTCTTTATAACCATAATGATGAATCTATTTAATGATAATATAATAATCAACGCGTGTGTTTGTTGACAAACAGAGGCAGTGAACCGTGAAATTGACCTTGGGTTTGAAGGGCATGATAGCCAGGGGAAGTAACTAACAAGACAGTCTGTGTGGCCACTGGGAAATGGAGACAAACATAACGGAAGCGTAAACAGGTCAAGCTGGATAGCTTAAAAATACAACGTGCGGGATTCATTTATTTGTTTGTTACATGTATATTGTTTTATTTTAAATTAAAAAAAAAAACACCGAAAAACGTATTGAAAATGTGTTATTTATTCTAGTGGATATATAAAGGTAATTATTCACATTTTTAGCCGATGCATCGATAATACGAAAAAGGGCCGAGAATCACATCGGCGGCGTCCGAATCGATGCATCGATACTTGATATCAGCGCTAGGTTTAACGTCCACTCTACACAAACTAGGTCATTTCGGGACTAACATATCGTTTAATTTTTTTTATTTCAATAATTTGCTTGCTCGAAGGGATCTTTAGCAGTGGGGGGAAACCGGAGGACCCGGAGAAAACCCACGAAGTTGGACAGGCGACCCTACTCCTTGTCACGTACAACCGGGGAATCGAAACCCCGCCAGTTGACTCAATGACAGATTGTATGATACTGCGCACGTGTGCGCGCGCACGTTACACCCCCCCCTCCGTATGAAACCACCGTACAACGGTCAAAAGTATCAAGAGTGGCCAAACAAATGGCACTGTATATCGACAAAAGTCCGAAATGGTCTCAATCGGAACGTTCTGCATACGTACAATATAGAGAGCTATTTTTCAAAGTGGCAATATTTGAACTAAGGGTGTTCTACTGTTAACCAATATCTGGCACTGGTATTTGAACTAAGGGTGTTCTACTGTTAACCAATATCTGGCACTGGTGCTTCTAGAGTGAAAATATTTCATATTAGTAAATAACAGTTGCTCCTGAAATTAATATCCCAGTTTTTTTGTGTACATGACGTCATCTCTTTATACCATTTAAAATAGAGCTCCCTGCTGCAGCTATTTATAAGGAGAGAGAGAAATGGGGTTTAACGTCCACTCGACACAAACTAGGTCATTTCGGGGCTAACATATGGTTTAATTTTATTTCAATAATTCGCTTGCGCATAGGGGTCTTTAGCAGTGGGAGGAAACCGGAGGACCCGGAGAAAACCCACGAAGTTGGACAGGCGACCCTACTCCTTGTCACGTACAACCGGGATTCGAAACCACACTATTTATAAGGAAGTCGCCCCTCTGTATGTAGTAGTTATTAGCACACTTTCCTCGGTTTATCGGTGAATATCAGGACAGTTTTGGTTGAGGCGCCCAGCCAAGGCGGCTCCCGACCAAAACTGTCCTGATATTCACCGATACACCGAGGAAAGGTGCTAATAAGTTACTTACATCACATTTCTATCGAGTATTGTGAAGCAAAATGTGAAAAATAGTATTTATTATCGAGTTCATTGATAACTGTCATTCCATAAATAAATCACCAAACGAACATTTCAGTCGGAAAAACACGCATTGCTTACCATGACCCCATCAGACGCCATCTTTGTTTATATGTTACAGAACGCCGCTAGGTGGCGCGAAACTGGAAAGTGGTCAATTCAACTTTACTTGCAGAGGCAGCCATTTTTGACAACTGTCAAAATTGCAAACTTAAACTTTACTTTTGACTTGAAATTCTGGCTTTAAAATCCGTCTCGTCGGACCAAAATGTACTTGAAGTGAGGACTGTATTTAAAACTTAGGGCTTGAAACTTAATTGCCCTCAATGGCAATACTTTGACTTGAAAAACAGCAACTTACTTGCTGTAAACAAACCTATTAAACTTCATTTTCAATAGACATGTTTTATTCTCTATTATCCAGTACAAAAAAGGGAGTTAACTCCATTTAACAAATAGAAAAAGGCACACATCTGATATCTTGTGTGAGAACAGGCTTTTTTTTGAGCTAATTTTACTAGCCTGTTATCTGAATATCAAATACATCATTATGACTTAGTCAAAATTGATCCCTTCAAACCGTCTTGAGGTAAATTTAGGAAGATTGAATACCTTCCAGAACATAAAATAGCCAACATATCTGATCAAACATTAGCACTATATCCAAATCGAGGTGTTGCCATTTTTTTCTCTGAGTATACATAAATTTACTTACCAAGATTGATAAAGTTATATTTGGATGGGCGACATAATCGTGCAGGATGTGGCATATCAGAATGTTTTGATGGAGAACAACATGTAATATGTGGTGGACTTGGTAGTTTATTCAAGATGGCATCTTCACTGTCACTTCCTGAAACATAGTTTAAGATAGGTTGCCAGGCAACGAAACATACGCCCACAGCAGCTAAGTCGTCTGAGCAGTCAACAAGAGTTGTCACATATTTTTTCTATTGTCAGTAATGAAACATCTATACTACACTAAAATCTGATTAAGAGTAAGGCCGCGGTTAATTAATTGTTAGTTTCTCATGACCCGTGTTTGTGAAATACCTAATATCGGTTACTTTGTCATTGAAACCCCAACAGTAACCGGCATCCATGATTTATTCACATTTAATACATTTTTATAGATTAAAATATCTGGTCTAAATGATGGTCTAAATTATTAGTGATATGCTTCTAAGTTAACCATTCGTTAATTCATTCATTCTTGGCATTTCATTTCTTCATGATCTTTCCCTACTTTGACAGGTTACGAAATGACCTGTTCCAATCAGGTTGATGGTTTGTTCTGTTATAAATATTTAAAAGCATACCTTTGGATTTTTAGATACAACAGATTATTAACATGTCAGTCCAAAGAATTTATTACACCCGTATGTTAATTGTCTTCAACTTTGACCCCATTGGCACATGGCATCGTGATAATATAAATACTTTTATAATTTTGTCTATCTTCAGCAGATATTCACATTTATTATCTTTGTGTCCTTTTGAGACTGTGTTTATAGAGTGTTGTGGTTAATAAAATACTGTGAAGTAGTGTCAATCAGTCAGTACCTCATGTTCGAGGCTCTCTCATTGTACCAGTTTTGGAACCAAACGTTCGTCACAGAGCACTAGTCACGTAAATAAAATATTTTAGCCGGAATTTAAAGACCTTTTATCTTTCCGTGAATTTTATTACAAATGACAAGTGCCTTTTGACGTATGTATGTCGTCTTTGGTGAAAGAAAATGCTGCAGCAACCATTCCTTGGTTTGAATGACCGCAGGCCATGAAATTTCAAATTTTGGCGTATGCGTAACCATTTTCTTTGGTTACGCCAGATGACCATTGCGTAACCAATTGGTTATATAAAATGGTTGAGCAATTTTCATGTCTTATCCAGATCTAAATGGTGCTACTATTCATTTCCACTTGCAGTGAATGTCTTTTTTAAAGAAATAACCTGACTAATTTATTTTCTTTTATCAGGGTGTGCACAACTCAGGACACTTAAAATTCCAGGAGTTTTCCATGTGTTTTCCAGGTGTTATTTACCAGATTCGAGGAGTCTCTGTTCAGGGCCGTTAAAACAAATTTGAATCCATCAGCCCAGGGTTAGTAGTCTACTGTCAGACACTAGCCCAGTTTTGATTTCCACTAATCCATATTTGGACAAAGTACAAGCTTTAATATTGGTCTGCATGTAAAATAAAACTTGATAAATGGAATAAATAAAGAAGAGTACGTGGAATGCTAAAATCGGCACAAAATTCTATTCCCTTGCACATATAGTCAACGGTACATGAACATCGGGGATAGGGCTGTGTCCATATATCGATACACCGATATGTATCAATACGTTCCAGCGATATTTATATCGATACGTAATATAGCCGTATCGCTGAAAAAATTCTTCAGTTCGAAAAGAAAAGGAAACCCACGTGGCGAAAGAAGACGATCTCGGCATGGTTTGCCAATCGAGCGTCTTCCACACTCCGTGTGAATTCCAGGTACAGGTACATATTAAATTAGCTAAGTCCGTAACTCAATATCATCCAAAATCTTCGACATTGAAAACACGATTTTTTTTGCAATTTAAATCAGCATTGGTGTTGTGATCTTACCTGGAAAAGATGGGCTTCTGATATCCAATATTTAATACAAAATAAACATTTTACCATTGGTACACGAATCGTGTACCATAATGCGTTTCAGCGCCATTTGTAACAAGGTGCTCAAAGAATGAGGTTAGACATATTCCACAAGTCATGTCAAACGGTGATATCATATTCTTATTTGGAGAGCATGTGCAATAAATAATATTGGAATAACCAGACGCTAGAAACTGATTTGCGGTTGAGACTTCTGGCGTATTTCGCCGAACATAACTGATGACAATTCACAGTAAAACGGACACGATTGAATGTAAAACAGTTTATATAAATTCATATTACATTATTATGTGTGTTGCGACACATTTGTGCCAATTTCTAGGTCCAAAATATTAGCGATTTAGCTCCTTTAAAATAAAACTGGATCATACATTAATGGATTCACTGACCAGTTGTTAGGTAAATTTAAATCTTCATTGAATGTAATAATCCTCTGATAAAACACTGAATACACTGAGAAACAGTCATTTAATAATATATTTTCCTGATAGAATTCCAATGACACGTGACATTTCGCTTGGAATTAGGTCAATAAACCAGTACTAAATAGCGCTTACTGTTTTTTTATTTTTATTTTATACTCATTGTGACAAAGGCTTAATTTTAAAAATGTTGTTTTTATTGAAGGCTATATCATAATCGTGTGGAATTTTGATTTTAAAGCAATTTCAGTATGTTGTCACGTGACAATTGTGCTGTGTGTCTATCAATTGACGAATGAATAAAAACTTTTGCCAAGTTACGTGACTATAGTTACCTGATAGACAAAGACTACAAATTGTGTTATGAAGAAATGCCATGGTGCCGTATCATCTTATTTTAGCTACGGCATTTTCTGATACTGGCAATAGATGAAAAATGCTAATATTTAAGATCATCGACTTATGAAATGCGAACGTTTCATCGAATAAACGAAGACAGTAATTAATTTATACTGGAATATTACAAACGTGAACTTCAAGATTTTACGTGAATTAAATATGGAAAATTTTCAAAAGGTGTATCCGTCGTTATTTTTGTAGTAATCACATACAGTGTACATTAAAATTACCAAGAATTATTTTTGTTGAAGTCTAGTTATATTAAAGGGAATGGAGCTTATAATTAACCCATATCCGGCCGGTTCGTTTCAAAATGGATTAAGAACCCTGATGCTTACCCATCTCAAACATCTTGAAACAGAATGTAGTTTGAGATTATTTTGGGCATAATTCGTGATGTCATCATATCGCGATACGTATCACTTTGCCGTATCATCAATACGTATCGTATCGAAAATGAATTGTATCGACACAGCCCTAAATTCGGGGATGCTATTATTGTGCCTGTCAGAAATATTTATTTGAAGATTAAAAGAGTCCAGAATTAGGTCGCATGAACTCGTTTATCAACTTCAGGAAATAAGGCCGCTGTTTGTTTGTTTCCCATGACCCGCCCACACGTCTGTTTTCATCTGTAATAATTACGTACTTCCAATTCCATAATTATTTGGTCAAATTTAGTGAGGTCACTAAATTCATCCTGTAATATTTGTTTGCCTTTAAATATGAACAATGAATGGACGCATTAAAATCGACTGTTTATCGATAAACGTGTTACCGTAAATAAAGTCTAGTTGGCTAGAATGTGAAAATATAAATTATGCGAAGCCTATACGTGAAACAGTTAGTTAGAAAAAAGCTGTATCTTATATGTCAATCAAACCAAGGAATGGTAGATGTGCACAACATTTTCTTTCACCGAAGACGTCATACATACTTTATAAGGCACTTGTCTTTTGTAATAAAATTCACGGAAAGATATACATGTCTTTAAATTCTCGCCAAAATATTTATTTGAGTGACTAGCTAGACTCTGTGATCATCGGTGTGTGGATATGTACTTAATAAATATGCGGGAATGGTAATAAGAAGAATAAACACTAAGGCAAACACGTTATTTTTTGAATGGTTAAGCGAGGACGTCACGTGATGTAAACACCCTTTTCAAGTCACAGGACATCTTAGCTGGAATCGGTCTACTACAGCGCGAAAATACGGATCTCGGTTAAGAACGAAGTAGGCCTAATGTCGAAAGTTTGTTATTTTAATACAGCGTGGCTTGGACATCCAGACTACCGCGATTGGTTGGCACGAGAGTCCGCTCATCGGGCGAAGTGTACGGTATGCCAGAAAAGTTTTGATATCGGGAATATGGGTGAGAGTGCTGTGAGGAGTCACACAAAGGGAGCCAAACATGTCAAGATTCTTGACCAAAACACCTGAGGCCAAATTACAAAATTTGTTTGTTCTGAAACGGGTGACTATCTTATCTTAATTTGTATATATTCTTGTAATTTCGATGCAAATCGTCTATCTAGGCATAGTGAAATAGATAAGGTAAAAAAAAAAATCAGGGTGGGAAGGTAGAGATTTTACTTTTGGTTGGTCTAAACCCATCTCCCTAACAGAGTTGTCTCCCCTTGCAGTCAACACCTGCCAATGACGTCTGTATAGATCAGTGGTCTGTACGGTACTAGTATAGACGTGAATGACCTCTGCTAACGGCTCATTTGACGACGCTACCAAGATTCTTGGTATCGATAGACAATTATAAACAATCCAATGGAAACAAAATAAATGATAATATATTTCTTTCTATTATAATAAAATATAAATTGGGTCATACTTATTGTAAAATATAATAAAGTATTTACAAATATACAGGGAAATCTTTCGCGAAAGATTCCGGGGTTAAAGGGTCGTAAATACGAACTGCACGTCATTATGCTAATTTTAGAATATATACATGTGGATCTGTTTACCTTTATAACGCGATCTTAAGGCCTAGTACTTTTACACATGAAACATGCAAATTTAGATTGTTTTTGTTTTTTTGAGGAGTAGTAATTGGTGACATTTTCCCCTAAAATTTACTAAAGCTCATTAATTGTTTATAACGCCAGAAACTTTTATGACAAATGCACGGAAAAAATGTCTGTTGATACGGTCGTGTATTAAACGTTTATTATTAGTATTACTAGTTTCTCATTCCCTTGTAAATTTATTTTTTCAGGAACACCTGGATTAGAAACACAAACTCCCTGACCAGCAACATTGGGCAATAATACATCTAAGTCCACCATACCTGACTATGCAACCAGAGAGGATGTAGTCAAGGCTGAAATAATGTGGACATTAAACTTGATAGA